TGTCCCTTCTTAATACAGATGCAGGTATTAACTGAATTCAAAACTATAATTTCCAGATATCACTTAAAGGAGAACTATGAGGTGAGTGCTTTTCACTCACCTCATAGTTCTAGCCGACCTGTGACAATGAGACTGTCACAGGTCGGCTCAGTAGATCGGGAGGTGAGCGAACAGATTCCGGCATTCGCTCACCTCTCTATCCTGTCACGGCTCTCTGCCGTGACGGGAGGGGCTGGATTCCCCCCTGCCCGCTCCGATCCGCCAGTGCTGACTGGTGGAACGGATGGCGGAGGAGGCTGGCTATGCCTCTAGATAGGCAGAGCCAGCTGTCATTTAACACAGCTGGGCGGATCCTGGCACAATTGTCGGGATCCGCTTCAGCTGCGGCATCTCAGTATACCTCCAGCTGCAGCTCATGGTATACTGTGGCGTCTGTATATACTGAGCCAAGGGTGACGGGAGGATGCTAGTTTGTGTCCTGCCATTACCCTAAGGCAAACTATGGGGAAAAGCCTTAACCCCATAGTTCTCCTTTAATCTCCAGCTTCCGGTTAAATCTGGTATTGTGACGTGGCCAAAAATTGCCAAGATTCTCTATGAGAATCATTAAACTGTTTTAGATGGATTTAAGTCAGCCAAGCACTGCCAGCACAGAAAGTGATCATGTAAAATCTGCACTCTACCCTGAAACCTAAAAAAGTGAGCAGTTGTATAAATACCCCACAGCATATAAACAAACAAATCAAATAGTATACAGCGCTATGTGATAAATGCAACAATTGTGTAAAAGGTAGCTAGAACATATAAATCCAAAGAAAATAAATAAAAAAACAGTCAAATGCAATCCTCAAGTAGGAAAATAAACTAAAAAGTCCACCAAGTAGGAAAATGGTATGTTGTATAGACAGTATAGTCCTCCCCAACTGTTTGAAGTGGTTTCCATGCAAATCTTCCTAAATAGTTCCAAAACCGAAATTCCAGCTATGACTTTTCTAGTTTAGGTTTGCAAATGAAAGCAAGAATTTGATTTGATAAATAAGTGTCAGACCTCAGTATATTTCATCACAAGCATTATCAATTAACAATTACATTTGCATATTTGCCATATCTACACTTTTATGCAGCATAGAACCAGCAAAGCAAATTGTCCTGATCATAGTAAGATAGTTCAGTTTGAAAAGATACAGGTCCATCAAGTTGAGGAAGGATAATCCTGGCTATGTCAGCTGTCACATAAGTAACAGTGAAAAATGGAGGTCATTTTCAAATATTTCAAACGTATTCCTGTGCATCCTTCTTCCAAGGCATGAGTTTAATAATGAAGAAAAATGATGGAGGGGGAAACGATCAAGTCTGAGAGTCTGGAAAAAAATGAATTCTTTGTTCCTGATGTATATATTAGCAAAGCAAATGCTTTCAGAAACACTGCATACCTGTTGGTGGCTTTTCTTATTCATAGCATGTCAAGCCCAGCTCTGCTGAGTTCTATGTTTAAGAAAAAATAATTAACATTATAATTAACTACCTTTTGTGCGGAGACTTTAATCACAATCATTAATCAGTGATGCATTTAATAAAAATAGCCGGTATATAGAAAACAAAGCTACATGGGACAACAATAGAGTGTATGAGGTCATCAGTATGTTCATCAAAAATTTGAAAGCACACAGAATTGCAAATGAAAGTTCTGCTGTAGCCCAGTCATCTCTTCCCAATGTGAACTCTCCGCTACAGTCTTTTGATAACCCCGCCACTGAACAGCCAATAGGAAGTGTCCATGTCACACAGACAGTGATGTGGACACCCTAGGAAGACCCATTCTTCTCTGAGGGAAAGAAGATGGAATGCCTGCGAACCATAGAGTCACACCACTGCAGAATAAGGTGAATATTTGGGGCATTTAAAACATTTTGTGTTTATATAAAGGGTGAGAGCAAAGGGAAAGGTATGTACCCGAGTTTAGCTTTCAGTGTAACTCCAACCACCACAATGTTTTTACAACATGGACAAAGTAGGAAAAAGTTAGAAAACTCTTTCAGCGTTTTACCGTTTTCTATTTCCCTCTTTGGAAGATTTCCCATCCCTTCCCATTTTGGTGACAGGAGCAGGACATGTGGCATAACTCCACCAAGGAAGGAATAAATAGCTGATGGAGGTTTTAGCCTTTTCTCACACTACTGAGAGATTGTATTGTTGTCTGGTCTTCCCAACAGGGTGACACACAGAAGTAAAAACCCATGCAACCCTTTTCACCTTATCCAGCACAAACACTTTCCCCATTACCTGAAACTAAAAAAAATTAAGTTATAGTTTCAGTTATACTGAAAGCTGTGTCACACACACACCAAAAAGGTAGTGGGTTTTTCAAAGGCACTAGACCCCTCAATTGTAAAATTCTATATTTTATTATTTTTACAAAGTATAAAAAGCATTAAAAGATTGCAGAAACATCTGAAGAAGTTAAATAGAAGTTAAAAAGCACATGATCATGTGGCAGCAAGCTTCTGCCCTGCCGAAAGCACAATTTTAAGCATATTGGTGCAACTAATTATATATACAGTTCTGATTACGAAAGACTAGGTGGACGTTGTAAAATAAACACATTCACAATCTTTTTTGGAGAGCATCAAAGAGTAGCTTTTGCTGAGAAAAAAAAAACAATCCTTCTTTGGTCAGTTATATACACTGAGTGGCCAGATTATTATGACCACCTGACATTTGTAGGCAATTTAGCTATAATTACCTATAATTTCGCGCTGAAGTTGCTATAGGGCCAGACCATTATAAATCGGGAAGCAGGTTGTTTAACACGACAGTAGAAGTGATTTTTTTCTGAAGATATGGGTAAACAACGTGATTTAACAGCCTTTGAACGTGGGATGATTGTTGGCGCTCAAGCCATGGAGTGAGTATCAGCAAAACAGCAGAATTCGTTAAATGTTCAAGAGCAGCTGTTGTTAAAATGTTTAAAGACTGGACAGTCAGACGAAAATCTGGGTCTGAATGTGCGAATTGTGGCCGTCAGCGACACAATGGGAAGACTGGTACAAGACAACAGAAGGGCAACAGTGCAGTGTCAGATTCCTCGCATCACCTTTCAACATCTCGTGGAGTCACGAGGCGGCCCAACGAAGTCATCTCGTGGCCCAACGAAGGACTGATGGGGTTGTCATAATAATCTTGCCACTCATTGTATATTGAAAGGATTCCTAACTGCTATTTTTTCTGTTAAAACGTACACATTAAGGCCACTAACGTCTTGCAGTGGCTTCCTATCTGAATGCTGTATGGAAGGGTCTACCTGCTAAAATCCCATGATCATCTTCTAATAAAAAAGACCACCAATTACATAAGCAGGAAATTATACCTCTGAGAGAGTTCTGTATACATGCAGGATACAGAAACATCCATTGTTGCCATGGTGCAGAAGAGAATAAATACTTAAATTTCTTGCACATTTCGGAAAAGTATAGATGGCTGTAGACTGAAAAATAAAGGTTATTTTCATTAACTCTAAAATACAAAATGACTTGTGTAGCAGTTATGAACACATTCATTTTTTTCAAAGAAAAGTTTAGTTACCCTCTTAAAGCTCCCTCACTGTTTTTACAAAGTTGTGTGGAATTGCTGTTTAAAGTCTTAACTCATCTACTATTGGCCACACACAAAGCGATAAGCAGTCTATCTATCATAGATTTGATTGTTTCAATCAATGTTTCCTTTAAAAACAATTTTTTGATACTACAAAGAAAAAAATATATTTGATCAAATCCAATAGGATTTAATGCCATATGCACATCCCTTTTCAGTGAAATCTATAGATTTTTCATTATAATAACTATTTTATGAAGGTATGGTATTGATCTGTGCATGGCCAGTATAAGACTGATATTTCAGTTATGGGCTGAAGCTGGCGTTCAGTGATGGTTAACATACTCATAGGTGTGCCTGGGCACACCCTAATCACCCTGAGCGCAATACCGACACAGCAACAGGTGCCATGTTTTTAGTCAAGGACTCGGCTTGGTGTAGAAAGATCTCCCTGTGACCGTCTCAGCAATACAGAGCACAGCAGCATTTGCCACTTCCATTCCTCACATAACAGCCGCTGTCCTTGGTGCCTGGAAAGCTGCAAGTGAGTGTGGCTGCGGCTTTCCAGGCCTCCCATTCAATTAGGAAGCTGAGAGGGTGTTAACATGACTGCTTTATTACTCTACCCCTGCTGGAAGAGATAATATATATATATATATAAAAGTATATGTGTGTGTGTGTGTGTTTGTACTTCTGTGTTCAATAGGCTGTGCATGCCTATGTACATACTGAATACATAAACATAACCTTTGCCAGAAAGCTTTTTTTTGTGCTCTGCATTTCTCCTCTAGCCATTCAATTGCAAATGCTATTAAATGAATATTTCTGTTATTCCCTGCTGAAGAATTAGTAAATTGTTGTTTAGATATAACAAAACCAGGAAGATCTTTAAATGAATGATTTGATAAATACGATGCCGTACTTTGAACAGCTTATTCTCTGAGTTCTTAATAGAGGCCATATTTCCAAGGGTACTTTTCTCTAAATTAATTTACATGTTTTCATTTGTGCCACAGGAATATCCAAAGCGCTGGCCTGAATTTAAAAATAATACCCCATAAATTAGCAAAATGTTTTAAATGTGCTTTCTGCATTTGCATTAATTATTTATTGTATTTTTGTTCTGTGCATTTGTCAGGGAAATGTATAGCATTGCCTTCCTGCTCTGGTTTGATTAGGATTGTTCAAATAATTATATATGATATGAGAAATGCTGGCCTAGCAGGAATTGTATAGAAATGTATTTAAAGAACTGTCAGCATTATGTATTCCATTTCTTTTTATGCTGATGACACAAATGTTTTTTTTAAGGTGCAATGTAAAACTATAGTGTCAATTTCAATATTAACTCATTAAGACTAAATTAAAAATTGCCAACATTAATTTTACTTTGCTCTTGTGTCTTGCAGATAGACCGCATAATATTCTGTGTATTTTTGGAGATTGATGACAGAATCTACAGAAAGAAATTGGCAGAGTTTTTTCCTAAAGGTATTCATTTTACTTTCTTCTAACTACATTTAGATGATATGTTTATAAAAAAAAACCCATGCACTGAAGTTGCCAACCGCAGTGTCCTCTAAAAATTATTAATAATTTTATTGCTGTGATTGGTATTTTTATATATACAATAACATGTATCCAAGAGGTCTCTAAAACACGTAACTCCCTGATAATTTATAATTTGACTAAAAATGTTGAGAGGAGAATCTGGAGGAAATATTCATAGTAATATTGACACTGGATGCACTTTATGTCTGAGTCATATTAGGTACACTAAATATAAAGTTGAATGCATGTATGCAAGTTGTCTTACCTACCCATGCTTTTATATTTCTGTCCATCCAGTTCTGAGATTTACACAGCCCTACAAAGCACAGTCAATCTGGTGACTTGATTTTCTCTGCTGCATTTAAAGAGCACATTATGGTTACATGACTACCCCCAGCATGTGACGGTACACTGAAGAAGCAGCAGCAGACTGATGAGGTCGCACTCTCTCATTTTATTACTATATTTCTTAGCAACACATGTAATTGCGGAACACTGTGGAACACTTCAGCCCCAAGTACTGCACCCTCTCTCTTTTATTCTGAATGCTGCTGAATATGACTTTCAAGAGGTTGAAATCAAGTCAAATTCAAGTTTCAGAGTTTTGTTTTACTAAATACATAACTGCATTCAGTGCTTTTTTAAATACCTGTGTGGACATTAGCTATAAGCTTACGATGTTATGTTTGCCTTGGTATATGTGGTTTGTAAAATATAGGAAGTGTGAAATTTACCCAAAATTTGGACTTTACTGCAGGATTTTTAGGCTACAGGTATGTGCAGGCACCTTTAGGTGTCTACACTTTATACCTACAGTGTTTTTTTGGCCTGACAGATTCTCTTTTAGATATATCTCTACCCAAAACAGTTTATTAGTGTGGAACGGGTAATGATTCAAGCTCCTGAGAGTTTTTACTGCTGTCGGTGACTCCATTGGGGAGATTCCTTCACTTGGTGCATGGTAAAATAATTGTCTCCAGGTCAAGAAGTAAGAGTAAGTCCTTCCAACAGCAACACTGATGGAATAAAAATGCCCTTTTTAAATTAAGCAAAAGAATGATTGAACCTCTGTCAGCCTTTTATTGTTGTCTGTTTCCTTGTTGCAGATTTTCCCTCACTAATTGTATGGTTAAAGGTTGTCCCCAGAGCAGGAATAGGGGGAAATCTTTCTAATGGAGCCTTGGGTAGCAGCAAACCTGAACAGGGTTCTAATCTCTTCCCATTCCATCTAAAACGAAAACAAAATTTGGGTACTGATACACTTTAACTCAAGTTTTAATTAGCAACAATAATATACTGCTTAATATACTATTAGCATAAGAGTAAAAAAAATATAACATTTTATCTCACCACCATTTCTATTCTTTTCAATCTCTGTCTAGAATACTTCGAACTAATGAATGCATGGGTCATGTCCAGCATCATAACATACTGTATATTGTATATAATTATCTACAATTATATATGTTTTTATCTTACTGACACAAATAATATAACTGAAAAGAAAGATATGCAAAATAAATGGTAATCAAAATTATACTGAGCTGTTATTATAGAGAATCTAGTTAACTGATAACATGGCTAAAATGTGATATTATTTTTAATTAAAAGAAGCCTTGTGATAATAGTACTAAAGATGTCAAAACCACCTGTAAACTAAGGTAAAATATTCATATAAAAGGTCAGGGTTTGGGGAAATTATGGCTTCATTTCCCAATGTGGCAGAATAACATCAAGGCAGTCTACATGTCATTTATTATCTTTTAGTAGCTGTTTAGTAAATAAAACAGCGTAATGCTTTAGTTTCACAAATAGCTAATAAAAATGCCTCATAAAATCAAACAATATAATGCTGCTTTTATAAAAGCCAAGTGTGGAGAAGCCCTCCTTTTAAAATTGCATTCTTGCATTTATACTTTTAACTATCTGTAATGAAAAAACACATCTTTTAGCATATTTAATAAAGCAGTGAATCCGTTTGCAGATCAGTTATAACATAGAAGGTACAGTAATGTATGATAAAAGTACCAGAGAGTGCTCTCTTTTTCATAATATTTACTGAGGAAAAGAAAGTAATAACACGTTGGGATTGGTTTAAAAAAGGCAAATAGATGGTTTACTTTGCTTGGTGAATGGGTTGAAACTCAGGTGACATCCATTATTTAGTCATGTAAAAACAAAAATACTGTTTTTTTGGAGTATTCTTTGCAAAGTGAATTTTCACCACCTTCATTAAGCTAAGGGAAAATTTTCTTACAACGTGAACAACCTATTTGCCTTTAGTAAATCAACCCAATGCAGTTGCATATGTCATATTATTCTCTTTAACTGTTTGAAATACAGCGTACTTGTTCCAGGTAGTAAAGGTGAGGTCATAATTTTAACTCCCCTCTGTGGCCCTTCCCCCATTTTTTGCAACAAGATCAATACCACAACTATCAGTCCCTCTTATCAAACCAGGGTGCTAAGTGTAATCATGTACTCTCCTTTCAGTTCCAAATCCAATCATTGTGCAAATTGTGCTGCCTTCACCTCTATCATCACTATTGCAACTCACTCCTCATTGGCCTGCCTATCCCCTCTTCAGTCCATCGTGAATGCTGCTGCCAGACTTATGCTCCTTACCAACTACTCAGCGTCCACCGCCCCTCCCTGCCAATCCTTTGTTGTTGTTAAAAATCTTAACAACAACATTCAAAACCATCCACAACTCTGCCCCAAGCTACATTGCCAACCTCCTCTCAAATTATCACCTAAACCATCCACTTTGCTCCTCCCAAGATCTATTGCTCTCTAGCTCCCTCGTCACCTCCTCTCATGCTGACCTCCAGGACTTCTCCAGAACCTCTCCCGTCCTATGGAACTCCCTACTTAAATCTCTATAAACTACCTCCTTTGGAAAGTGTATTAAAGCTATTTGATCACCAGGCATAATAGCCAGGCCATTAAGATTTTCAAGAAGCAGAGGTCAGCAACAGCAGATTCCATGTCCTCCATGTTGCCCTCTTATCAGGTCCGGACCACAACATCCATACACATTGTTGCATACTGCATACTCTATAAACATCTATATTTACCTGGAGAGCAGTCTGTGTCCAGGACAGCTGTACTGCGGTTTAGAATCTACCTATTTATATATGAGGCAGGGAATATTAAGCTACAAAGAGCAGTGATGATTTGCAAAGTGCAGTAAGCCATTACAAACTATCAGATTTCTATTCAGTAAAGCCAGATCAGTAAACGCTGAAATCTGATTGGCTGATTTGGTTTACTGCACTGTTCACATCTTTATTTACGATAGCCAGTAAATGTGTATTTTCAATACCTTTTTGATTCAGATTGCATATGGCAGTTAAACCATATATATGCGCATGAATCTTTAAAAGAGGCCACAGAAGATGAATTATGAAACATTTGATTTAAGCATCTTTATAGCAACCCATTTAGCATTAAATGAACACTATGATCAACATGCAGTTTGCTAATGTGTTGTGCACATTTCACTATAATTGAATTTGGCACGTAATTTGTTCATGAAAGCTGATTTATCTCACAAGACGACGCTTACTAAACTGGGAAGAGAAAGGAGACGGATCAAAATGAACAACTATAAATAAACAAAACTTAGTATTTTTCCCAGAGAGGGTTATTTGTCAATTATTACATTTATTTTAAGGATGTATACACTTTTTGAAAAAGGAAGTGATGCAGGTAAACCTGTGCGATAAAAACACATGGGTTGCCAATACTGACCTACTTACCAAACCTTCGGCCACAAAGTCAAGTCAAGCAACTAGCATTTTTCAGCAGGAGAGGTCAGTAATGGAAGCAAACCTATTTATTCTTTAGCACAGGCTTTCTTTAAGCCATTTAGTGTAGGGCTGTGGAAATTAATGATTAATTACCCGATTAATCGTTAAAATTTTTGATTGATTAAAATTATTAATGAAAACACTCACCTCTCCGCCGCCTTCCGTCGAGTCCTGTCGGAGATCTGATGACGTCACGGACATCGACGTCACCGGATTCCTCCCCCTTCCCCAAGTGGCTCCAACGGCTAACAAAGGGAAGGAGGGAGGAGTCAGGTGACATTGATGTCCATGACGTCACCAGACTCCTCCCCCCTTCCCTTCGTTAGCCGATGGAGCCACTTGGGCCGGTGATCTGTCAACAGTGAGAACTTATCGAGTTCTGCAACTGCCTGACCTCCGGTTTTGTTACAACTAAGAAGTTTGCCCAAGAAACTTGTTCTGCACGAGCGCCAGCCAAGGCATTGGCCTATACCAGGGGTCAGCAACCTGCGGCTCCGGAGCCGCATGTGGCTCTTTCATCCCCCTGCTGCGGCTCCCTGTCCAGGGCAGATCAGCATCGCAAATCTTATGTGCAGGAGAACTGATCCGTCCTGGAACAGCTGATCGGACCTGAAATGTCATTTCTATCCGACTTTGTGAGTGAGGTGGAATGTGAGATCGCAGTCAGAGAGAAGTGACATTTCAGGACCGATCAGCTATTCCAGGGCAGATCGGTCCTCCTGCACATAAGATTTGCGATGCCAATCTGCCCTGGAACAGCTGAGAAAGCGCTGAAATGCTTCACCTATTGGCGGTCAAAAAACTGGGCGGGATTACATTGAAATGTGTGACCACATCACTGGTCACACATTGTAACGTAGTCACAAACTTTGATTGAACACCGCCATCAGGGGGGACACGGCCAGTACCCATGTGAGGGGGGCCTCTTACATGAGTATCAGCTGCACCAGTGGCGGCATGGCAGAGGTGACATGGGAGGGGGTGGAGGAAGCCGGGCCCCAGCAGCAAGAGGTAAGAGGAGTTGGGAGAAGGTACAGGGAAAGGGACCCCGGCGACCAGCCCACCTGAGGCCCTGTGGAGCCCACCATAGAGAGTCTCAGATGGGCTGTGCAGGATCTATGGTGTGCT